TTTTGGTGTTTGTGTGTGTGTGTGAGATACTGGGGATTGAACCCAGGGCACTCTAGTGCTGAGCCTTATCCCAGCCTTTTTAATTTTTTTTCCCAAGAAGGTTTTGCTAAATTTCTGGTTTTCAATTTGCAATTCTCCTGTCCCAGCCTCCCAAATTTCTGGGATTACAGGCATGCACCACTGTCAGCTAGGCCAATATTTTAGATAAAGTGTGCCCTCCACTTTAAACCTCCAATTCAGCTTCCCTAAGCAAATTAGAGCCATTCAGACTGTCATGAAGAACTTTATTTGGAAGCACTGAATTTCCATTGTTAAATCCCAGCACAGTCTGATACTAAGAAGCCTGAATAATTGAAACATCAATCCCATTTATCTACTCTGAAAATATAAGTAGGTATTTGTCCACAGGTCTTTACTTTCAATCAGCTAGGGGGCCTGTTTCAGTATTTTGGCTAATTCTGGTGATGAGCACAGTTGCTGTAGTCCTGTTTTCTACCTTCCAGAACTGTCCTATCTCAAATTGTGATCCACATTTGTATTACCTGGCAGCTTATTATGCCATATATTGGGCCTCTTCTCAGACCTACTGAATCAGAATCTATTTTTATTCTCAAGCATATGAACATTAAGAAGTATTGTTCTAGAAACTGGCCTCAGTTCCTGAGCTTTTGCCTACTTCGTTATTATAGGCAGTCATACAATTTAGGGAGGTAGAGATGAGTGTCTCAGCTACAATTCCATTTCTGCAAACATTCATTGAATCATTACTATGTGTCTGACAGTTCTAGATGTTTTCACAAATTACATGTGGAGTAGAGGGCATACAAATGGAGAATATAATACTTATTGACTGCTTAGGTAAAGTGAGGACAGGTGTCTCACTGAATCCTTAAAGTGATGCTGTAGGGCAGGGTTATTTCCTCTAGTGAAGCTCAGAAAGATGAATTAACATGTTCAAAATTAAGTAGTTAAATTTTAATTCAGATCTGTTGCCAAATTCCATGTTCTTCACACCATAACTCCTGTGTGAATAGAATATGGAGGTGAGTGCCATGGGGCACTCAGTTGTCAAAATGACCATTTGAATATGTAAACTCTTATCAAAGATAAGTAGCTTGGAATCCTGCTCACCCAGCTACTGTACTCTTTGTAGATGATCTTGTGCGCAAAAACCAGCAGTTGACTATGCAAGTGGCTTGCTTGAACCAGGAGCTTGCCCAACTGAAAAAGCTGGAGGAGACCGTTGCCCTTCTTCATGAAAGTCAGAGGTAGGCGAGTTTCTGTCTAGTGGTTTCTGGAAGCAGATGTTTACTTCTCTTTATCTCCTTTTCTTTGTTTTTAATGATAATATCTATGAAATTTACAAATTAACTCTAGTGTTTGTATAAACCTCTTGTTCCTGGCCAGTTAGCTCAGGGATCAAAGTACTGCTTTTGGTGCTATTCTTATACACCAGGGACTAAAGATCTTTGCTGACATTGGCAGGTTGCAGCATCCCAATAATTAATTTCTTACTGGTTCTAACAGGGTTAACTTCTTTGGGGTCAGCTAACTTTCTTCACTATACCCCCTAAAATCAGTCATTTGGCTCCTCTGGAAAATGCCTTCCTGCTATTGGTCACAAAAGATGCATCAAGAGCACTCAGTAGAGAGTGATAGGGAAAGAATCCAAAGTATGTGTCTTCTTCAGAAGCACTCAAAAGCGTCAGCATCTTCACAGAAGAGTACCCTTGGATGCAGACCAAGAAACACCTGAGAAGACCTCAAGGCCACTGGCTTGGCAGCTCTAGGGAAGCCCTTGAAGTCTTTATTTACCAATCTACCTCTACTAGGACTTTCAATGACATTTAAATACAAGCACCCCATTCCCAAATCTTCAGCTCCAAGCTTTATCACTCTTTTGTTGAAATAGCTTCATATCCAGAGGATTAACCCACACACACACTTCTGGATGTATTTTTTTCATTATATGCATTTATATGTGGGTTGGGAACCAAGAATATGCATTTCCAGTAAGTTTTCACGTGATACTGTTGCTGCTGATCTGGGAACTACATTTTGAGAGCATTAGGGTATCTCTTTTGGGGTATTTATAGTCAAAATAGTATATTTTAAGTTAACTTGAAACAATTTTTCTGTGTATTGGTCCCATTAACTCAGTGTACAAGTTCATTTATTATTATTTCATTTTGTTTTTGATTCTTAGGAAATTTTTTTGATTTAATCTTATTTGCATAATTATGTAAAATATTTCTATGTGGCCCCAAAAATCAAATCTATAAAATAATATAAATTCAGAAAAATCTAGACCCTTTTTCTGTCTCCTCTATCCTTTCCTTTCCTCCCACTGGCATTTTATTGTGGATGGTAGCATTTGTATTCCCCCTTAATTATATAAAAAGAAGCATAATATTGCTTTAACATTTTTATCTTAGAAATAAGTTCACAGTAGTCTGTGGAGCTCGTTTTCATTCCTTTGTATAGCTGCATAGTACTCTAGTGTGTGGTTGTAGTTTATTTGACTGCCATCTAGTAATGTCTGTGGATATTTTGGTTAGCCATGTTTGGCTGTTAAAAAATAGTACCATCAAGGCTGGAAGTATGGATCAGTGGTGGACTGTGTACTTAGTTATTTGAGGCCCTGTGTTCAACTCCCAGCACCAAAAATAAAAACAAACAAAATAGTACTGTAATGAACAGCTTTGTGTATATACCTTTTTTTTTCTTTGCCAGTGTATGGATGACTTTCAACATTATTTGATAATACAGGGTTCAGGAATACAGGATGGCATCATTGTTGGTTGCAGAGACAGGACAGATTAGAAAAAGAAGTTATGATTTGGAGAGTGTGTAGAAATTGAGGCCTGATCAGGAGCCAGTGTCCTACTTACCTCATCAGGAAAGTTGTTTTGAAAACAGTATAACAGCCACTCTATAAAATGTGAAATATATTATTGCTTTAGTCAGTCTGGAACACAATCAGAATTGTAATGAAGAAACTGTACATTTGCTTTTAAAATAACCCACTTACAAATCTGACAATTCTGTTGAAAGATGATACTTCATTTTACATTTATCTTTAGCACACATTTCAGACCCAAATGGCATCTACTTTGCTTTTGTGATTTCATGACTGTCTTTCCCCCTCTGGGTCTCAGATCCCTGGTGGTAACTAATGAGTATCTGCTGCAACAGCTGAATAAAGAGCAAAAAGGTTATTCCGGGAAAGCACTCCTGCCTCCTGAAAAAAGTCATCATCTGGGGACATCATCGCCCTTTGGGAAAAGCACATTGTCTTCCTCCTCACCAGTGGCACATGACACGGGTCAGTATCTAACACAAAGCATCTCAGAAACTGTCCCAGATCCTAATTTGTGGAGCTAGCACTGAACACCTTCACTGTCTACTCTCACATATCCATGGAGGGCTTGCAATGTCTTTGCCACCAGCAAAATATTAAAAAAAAAAAAGCTTATTCTGATTACATTGTATTGTCCCTTCTTTTTATTTCTCTATGTCCTCCCCTTGAATAATTTTTTTCCTTCTGCCCGCAGAAATTGCATCATGTCATACAGAGGCATTTGACTGAAAATGTCAAAAAGGAAAAAACACTGGACACTTCCCCCAGTGTCATTTGATAGTGTGTAGTAGAAAGTCACAAAAGAACATCCATCAAATATATTTTGTGCTAAAAGAAATTTTAGAGACTCTATATTTATGGATTCACCAAACACATTTGGAGTTTGTTGGCCCTGGAGTAGCCCATGATTTGTTTAATCAGGAATAAAGCACAAACTCATGCTGGTCTGGGGACAGCGTTAAGGTATTTCTTTTTGGTAATGCATAGTCAAAATTATGTATTTTAAATTAACTTGAAACAATTCTGAAACTTGAAGCTTTGAATTAGAACCAAACAGGTCTATACAAAAACCCTGAAGAGAAAGATGCTCCAGAGAAAGAGAGTAAGGAATCGCAGCATGGGGAAGGCCATGACCAGGATTAGTGTGTGAGTGGGAGCTGACAGAAGAGAAGGAGGGGAGCAGAATGAAGGGATGCAGCACCTCAGGAGTGCAGAGTCTGGAGCACTCAGAGGGATTCTGGGGCAGGGTCCAAGGTGAGACATGATTCCATGAAGAGTGTAAGAGTGGCAATGAATCATAGCCTAGGAAATGTAGTGTTAGGAATATGTCCCCAGAGGACATTCAACTGAGACCTCAGAATAAGTAAGAGGTGCCTGGGAATAAGTAAAAAGTTACTAGACTAGGCAAAGCATAGGGCCAAGAGCAAAAGCAATGAGAGAAGCTGCAGAGAAGTAGTACACACACAGGCCTTGAAGGAAAGGGGCAAGAAGAAGGTAGCAGGAGTGAGGTCATGTGGCTCCTGGAAGATTTTAGAGTAGAGAGGCCCAGGAGTAGGGGCTTGAGTGAGGCTTTCTCTGTGAGAAGAATGGATTGGCAATGATGTGGCACAAGGAAGAACCCCAGAGGAACTAGATAACAGAGACACAGCTTCTGAGTGTGCCAGCGTGGGCTCAGTATCCATTTCACATACAAAAGTATACTGTATTTCTTTAATTCTGATCCATTAGGCATTTAAAACCTCAATGGGGAAAATGGTTCAAGTTATATTTCTGCTTCAGACTTCTCCCAAGTAGCTTATGTTTTCAGAGAGGGTATAGGGTGAATGACTGTCAATTTAATGCCATGTTATACTTCTCTTCACCTTCAGGGCCACATCAGAGAAAGAGGTGGGTGGAAGGATTAGATAATCTTTTGTGCTTGGACTCTGGTGCTGTGCAGGGAAGGAGGCTTATTGCCATACTAATGAGACATGAAGATCCCACATTTCCTAGTTGTAAATAAAATCTACAGATCTCCAGATTGTACATGGCTTCCCAAGAGGCAGCTGTACAGAGGAGCTGTACATATCTTTGACCTGTGTGCTCCAAGGGAACTGGTGTGAGTTTGTGCTCTGTGGAAATGACAAAAGAGCCTCTTTTCCCCACCCAGCCACTTTTCTGGGCCTGTCCTTGTCCTATTGAGAAACTATCAAAGAGCCTAAGCCGGGGCTGAGGATATGGCTCAAGCATAGCGCACTCGCCATAGTGCACTCGCCTGCGGCCCGGGTTCGATCCTCAGCACCACATACAAACAAAGATGTTGTGTCCTCCGAAAACTAAAAAGAATAAATATTTTTTTTAAAAAAAGAGCCTAAGCCTTGCCCAGGAAGGAGAGCATTGTCTATTGACTTCACAGCCCTGTGTTGTCACATTTCAGGGACTTAGGCCAAGCATAGGCCAACCTGCTAGTCAGACCCTTAGAGGAGAAATAATACACTTCTTTCTACTGCCCCGGGCTTTCCTGCATCTGGATGAACATCTGATAATGGCAGACTCAGAATCTACTCAGGGCACCTCTAAGGAGAAGCAAAGAGCCTAATCCAAACTAAATCACCTTCTACATCATCACCCTTTGTCACAGAAAGTAGCTGGCCCTGACACAAGCTGGCACCTCTTCTGGCTGCTGACAGCTCCTGGGGAATTTATTTCTGGTTTTGATTTTCCCTGTGTGGTACAGTCCTGAGGGCAGGGGTAAAGATTGGGCTGTCAAGAGAAGGGCCAAGGAATTGTTGCCCTGTGGGGCTAACTGAAGCCAACATGGAAGGTGGAAAATCCCTGAAGAGAGTGAAAAACAAGAGTTTACCACCCAAGTCCTCAGGAGAGTTTTGTGCCCAGAAGGAGGGGCACAGCCACCCCAACAGGCCTACACTACCCCCAGCTATACAGAAGCATTATTTTTAATTTGCAATACTGGGGATTGAACTCACTGGTGCTTCTACCATTGAGCTGTGTCCCCAGCCCTTTCTATCTTTTATGTTGAGGCGAGGTCTCACTAAATTGCCAAGGCTGGTCTCAAACTTGCAATCCTCCTGCCTCAGCCTTCTGAATCTCTAGGATCACAAGCATGTGCCACAAAGCCCAGCTCAGAAAGATTTTAACTCTCCATCCTATAGAACCTCCCCTTCCTTCCTTGTATGCCTAGCCTTGCTAGTAAGGGTACCCAAGGCTTTCCACCGTAAGGAGGCTGTGAGGGGGAAGAACACAATGCCAAGGCAGCAGTGGTGGTATTGTTCACCAATGGCTGCCCTGCACCAGATTCTGTGAGACCCATTTGGTTTTTAAGGATCTTCCTGGCCCTGAGTGGCCTTGATCTCTCCCAGGCTCCATGAAGCTTTTCAAGAAGCACAAGGGCTTTACTCCAAGGTAGAGTTTGGGGGCTCAGCCAGTCTCTCTGGGTTCCTCCAAGCCAGTCATAGGAATGGACAGGTTGCTTCTCCCCTCCATACGGGCTGGTTCAAGTAGCTGGGAGGGTGACACAGTTTGAATACAGGTAAATTCAGGTTGCTATGAGAGTTCCCTGCTGTTAAGCTCACTGTGGTAAAACTTCCAATTCAGATTTCCCAAGGCTAGAAGGGATCACTCCTCTACTGCTTGCCAGCGGGAAAGGTAGAGGGAGGGAAGGTGGACAGCCCAGTGAGGAGGAGCCTGCTGCTTACTGCTGGCTGGGAGACAAGGCTCTGCAGAGGTCAGGTGTCAATTCGTGCCCTCGGCTTCCCACTTGACCTCCAGCTTCTCTGTCTGAGACACACTATTTCTCTACACCTCCAATCCCCAAGTAGTTGGGCTCTAGGGATTTCAGTGCCACCTAAAGCAGGAACAAACTGGGGGATGAGAGAATAAATAATTGCACTGTTTTCACCAGAAATAGGGCATGTGCTCATGAGCATGTGCATTTCAAGCCTTTTCTAGAACCCTTGGGACCTGCTGGCTCCTAGGTAGGCCCTAGGTGCCATCAGTCCTCTTGTCATAGCTGAAAAGAAGACAGTTGGTGCCAAAGCTGTGGGCTTAGGAATACTTCTGGCCCAACACCCAGAACCTCATGATCTGGAAACATCCAGAGCCCTCAGAACCAGAGGCCCTACCCATTCAGCCAGAATGGTGAATACATGGGAGGGAATCAACAAGAAAAGGCCCCTTCAGTGTGGGACACCCTCTCCCCACCTCCTACCTCTGCCACAGAGCCAGGCTCTGTTACTAGCCATTCAGCCCTACTTTAAAAAATCAGTATTGGAGCCTGATGTGTTAAAAGGCATGAGGCAAAAGGCATGGTTGGGCCTCATCTGCAGAAACACTTTCCTTCTCTGGGCCTCAGTTTTCCTGGCTATAAAATGAGGAAGTTAAATTATGTACTCTCTAAGGTTCCTCCTGACCCTGGATTATCTGAGATTTTCATATGGATCCCCAAATAACTTGCCTTGGTAGCCTCCAGTTGGTAGGCTTAGAGCCGAGGCCTGGTCCCAGGGTTTCTGCCAAGTCTTGGCCCAGGCCAGGTCTGCTATCTCATCCCTCCTCAGGCTGTGCAAGTGGAGAGGGGCCAAGTCTGCATACTAGGCACTAACTGCAGGGAGGCAGGCTTTGAGGTCAGGACTCAGGGTCAGGGCCCAGTTAAAAGGCTTTGCATTTCCCTGAGGGACATCTCTGATAGTCTGGCTCTTTGGAAGGGGACTCCTATGTCTCTCTCTTTCTGGGTAGGCTGCCAGTGAATGGAGGGAGACCCATAGGATGTGTATGTAGCAGATTGATGATACTGAGGGCAGTACTTGGGTGTGAATGTCATCATGTACCAAACCAGGCCAATTGGTACAAAAGGTGTCTTTATTGAGGTCTGGGTAAGAATTAGGCACTTGGCCAGAGCAGCAGCTTAAATATGAGGCAAGCAGGCAGAAGTCAGCCATGCCTGGAACCAGGTTGGGGTGGTGAGGCTATAGGCACAGACTTTCCTTAGAAGTTGGAGAGGCAAGAGGAGGAGGAAGAGGGGACAGAGTAGTCTGGGTCAGAGGGCTGGTAGGCTGGCCTCATGGGGCTGGGCAGGAAGCTCTGGGTGGCAGGTCCAGCAGGAAAGGGACCGGGCTTCTTTGCTCCATGTACCCCTTATGCCCAGGCCTGAGCCTCTGGCAGGGGCAGGTGCAGTGGGCACCTTCCCTGGCCTCACTTCTTCACCTTGGCATCATAGGTGCCTGCATTCTTGTAGGCACTCACATAGCCACTGTCATCCAGGATGTCTTGCCGTCCAGCAATGCCCTTG